TTTTCTTTTCTTTTTTTGGTGGGAAGATGGGCATGAGTTTAAAAAATGATTACAAGCAGCTTTCAGTTTTTTTTTTCTTGCTCATTTTTAATGAACTTATATTCTTTTCTAGGTTGACCAAGTATTTCACATTATAACTCTTTAAATTCTAAATAAGATCTCCAGTCAATGTGGTTCCCTCGCAATCAAGCCCCCCTTTGCAAGACCTATGTTTCAACCTCCATCACCAACCCTACTTCAGTTGCCACCCCTCATCAAAAACGGGGCCTACTTCTTACTATTGCCACTGTTGGATTTTGTGACCTAAATCCGATCCAAATTAGGTCTAGAACTTCGCGTTGTGGAGTATTGGGCTTGAAGATGACAAAATAGGGTCCAAGAGGGAAAAAATGAGGATTGATGGCGCTGGATGGACACCCGCTTATAGGTCGAGCGATATGAACAAAATTGGAAGAGGGAATTCGTCGTCTGCCTGTCGTTGAGCTGTCATGCAAGCGACATGTTATCACCCGCTTATTGCTTGAGCGACGGGCCCCGAATTTTTTTCTTCTTTTTCGATTTTACGTGATTTTTGACCTAGTTTTCATATTTTAGGTTAATTCTAGGGTTTGGACATGTCTCCTATAAATAGTAGACTCTTTATTCAGTTTAGATTGAAGAAAAGGCAGAAGTTGCATTTTCTCTCCATTGGTTGTTATTAATAAGATATTCGGTTCCTCTGCCAATTTCATCTTCTTGTTTATTCTCTTTTAAATCTTGTTCTTATTTATTAGTTTGTGTGATTTATAATTCATATCGCCTCCTTGAATTGCTAACAAGTGGTATCAGAGCCAAAGTTCAGCAGTTCCGCAGAGCAATGATTTGATTGTTTGAGATTTTTTTGTTATCGATGGCTACCATGAATTATGATATTCCACTTTTAGATCGCAGTACAAGATTTTCGTTGTGACAAGTGAAGATGAGAGTTATATTGGCGCAGATGGATTTGGGTGATACTTTGTTGGGATTTGATAGGATGCCCACAATTTGGACAATATATGAGAAGTAACGGAAGGATCACAAGGCACTTTTGCATATTCATCTTCATCTATCTAAAAGCATGACCAAAAGCCTGACCAACAAATTGCATCTGAAGCAGAGGTTTTATTCTCATCGCATGGCAGAAGGCCGATCACTGGAAGATCATCTAGCTGTATTTAAGCAGATCGTCGCTGATCCAGAGACGTTAGAGGTAAAATATAATGAAGAGGACTTGGCCTTAATCCTGTTGAGCTCGCTTCCTTATTCGTTTTCATCGTTTAGGGACATGATTCTGTACAGTTGTGACACACACACCATTGAAGACGTGTATGATGCCTTGTTCTCAAAAGAGAAGATGAAGCATCTGGTTGGAGCTGGTTTCATAGATGAAGAAGTTCTTTTGATTTATGGTGATCGGTGAATGGGCAAGTCGATGGTGCTTTTACTGCATGAAGAAAGGACACATCAAGAGGGATTGCGAGAAATTGCAAGGTAAGGATAATTCAATTGCAAATCATGGGAAGCAATCAAAGACTTCGGGTAAAGCAGGCATCTTAGAGAACTTTGTAAGTGAGGGAGATCTTTTGTCGATATCTGACGTGGAATCCAAGCCTAACGAGGAGTGGATTTTGGATATAGCTTGTGTGTTTCATACGAGTCTCAATTGGGATTTGTTTGAATCATATAAAACGGTGATGCAATGTGTCGTTGTCATGGGAAACAACGAATCTTGTCGGGTAGCTGGTATTGGGAGAGTTAGATTGAAGTTGGTGGATGAAACAATCAGAACACTTGGCCAAGTTCGAC